AGGGACGAACAGGCTTAGGCTGGCGAGCAAAAGGGGTACATTGATGTGGGGCACAGGCTTGAGCACAAGAACGACCACCGTCAACAGAGGTAGTACGACACAGTATCTGACTCCGGCTGCGAATGTACTGAGCCTCTCAAACGCACCCCGTTACCCCCTACCCCCCACCCCCCGCGGATGCCCTCGTGCTCGTGCGTCCAGACAAGACCAGCGTAGACAACATGCTAACCAGAAAAAAGTCGAGAAGAACACTAGTCAGACTCACGATAGAGGCAAAGGCTTGAAGTGGTCGATTCCACCTGCCTCCTCCTTTCCCTTGGCCGGTTGCGCGACGTGGATGGTGCTGATGAGGAAGATATCCTTGGAGTCAGCCCACTGCACGCACGCCACTTGCCCCGAACGGCAGAAGTTCATGTCGCCGCGGTTAGGAATGGTACGCCCGAGGCTCTCGAGGTACACATCAGCGCTGGCAGTCCGATCGGCGCGGCAGGTACCTACAGCGAAGATGTCGTGGGAGGCGAGGCACTCGAACAGAGTGGGGGAGGTGAAGTAGTTGTCCATGGCGATGAATACCCCCGAGCCATCGATCTTCTGCCTCAACACGCCGCACTCCCCCAACAGAACGTGAAGCAAGTGGCGAGTAGTCCGGCCGAGCGGGCAGTCCATCTAAGGGCGAAGCTTGGGGTCACCTTTCATGCCGCCATCCACGCTGCTGGTTAAGCAGTAGCCCGTGATNGAAGCGGGCAGTCCATGTAAGGGGGAAGCTTGGGGTCACCTTTCATGCCGCCATCCACGCTGCTGGTTAAGCAGTAGCCCGTGATATCGCACGCCGCTAGTAGCTTCATGCCTGGCACACATCAAGAAAAAAACGGACGAACGTCGAAGGGACCAGCTGTGGTAGGACTAGTGTTGGAACCAGCAGCTGTTGACATCAAGGCGTATCAATGATTTCCGGAGTCTGCGATCTGTGATGTACAGAAGAAGAAATGGCGTTGTGGAAGAAGCGGGAAAACGCCGCACAAGGTCGTGGATAAGTGCCACCACCNATTCACGTGTACCACGATTAAACTACTCTCGGAGACCCTTTTCGTAAGACAAGCCTTAAAATGCGTGCGCATGCTCACCGTGCTTGGTGGGCTTCGCCGGGCAGTAGAAAGAAACCTTGCTCGAGTAGTTCGAAACAGTCTTGATCATTTGCTCGTCGTACGACAACCAATTGTCACACTCGACGTTCGCCGCCCATGCAGTGTTGAGGATCTCTTCTAGCTCCCTGCCAGACGGGGAAGAGCACAAGTAACACAGCACGTTAAAGGGTGGGCCGTTACCGGCAGGAACACGCTCGTCATTTGTCATTTCTACCTACTGTACCAGGACGACTACAAGACAAAATTGAGTGTCGGGTGATGTACTCGACGGAAGAAACCTCTACTCATTGAGTGTGCATGTGCCAAACTTCACTGCCAGCAAACCAAAAACAAACCATACGGCCCGCACATGAAATAGCGGCGCCGTAGACGGGGGAGAATCTTCGACTTTCCGGGGGGCTTCGGTACCCTTCGACCCACGTCTGGCCCCCACCATCCCAACTGCAACAAAACCGAAACGACGAGACCCAAACGAAATCGACACTCCAGGTTTTCAACAGAACACACAGATTGAAAACGAAGACACCTGATTTACCACTTGGAGTCGTAGTCTGGGTTTTCTTCGCCATCGGGTAGCAGTCGCTCCGGAGCATTGGGGTCGGAGCAGTGAAGGAAACAGCAGTACGAGAGCTCGAACACGTCGCGCGGCATGCACTTCTGGGCCAAGCGGGTAGCTGTTGTGGGCGGACCGACTCCAGTGCTTTCGCATCCGGACTTTCTTCGTGAAGCCCATGGTGATGAAAATGCTGATCATGCCGTCGATGTGCTGCTCCTCGAACATGCCGTAGGTGTTGTGCTCCTCGGACCGCTCCCCGAGCGTGACGCGACCGAGCGTGGCGGACTTCTTCATCTGGTGTGGCTTCCGCTTGTCCTCCTCCTCGGGCGGCGGCGCCGTCGTGCAGTGCTTGACGTAGGCGTTCGTCTGCCCACAAAATAATGGAGGAGCGGGGGCGGGGTGGGGGAGAGAGACACGGAGGTTAGATGGGGGCGGGTTTCGAGGCAGGTTTCGAGTCAAAGCCGTGTGCAAGGCTATTTCAGAATCGTGGCAGAGCTATTGGGCGCACGGCAGCAGGGGGGCAGCGACTTTGTGCGGGGTGGATGGGTACCGAAGAGAGGGCGGGCGGTAGGTCTCGGGTTTTTCATGCACCTTCATCGTACATATTCGGTTTCACCATTGCAAGCACTGGAAATTTCTGTTTCAATACTCCGCACACACGCGCACCACGGGACACGTGAAAGCAAAGCGGTGCGTGTCGCAACAAGACAACAATAAAATTAACATACCTTATCCAAAAACAACTTTCGCGCCTTTTGCGGGAAGGTGAGGTCCAAGCACTTCTCCAAGACGAGGTCAAGCGAAAATTTCCCGCTGGTAGGGTTCTGGTGCGGCATGAAGTTGTCCGACGATGGCAGCGCGGCGCGAGCCTCTGCCGACAACGAAACTCCACGCCCGATGTCTGTTGACATCTTGTTGCGCCTCGTGAAGTGGTCGGACGTTTCGTAGTTCTCCATCCCCCTTTCCGTCCACACCACCTCCTCGTCACCGCTCTCCTCCTCCAGCTCTGGGGGTGGCGACTTCCTGGACTTGGACTTTTTCTTCCGCTTGGGGTTGGTGGCTTCCTTCTTCTTCTGCCGTTCATATCGGAGCTGCGTTCAACACGTCCAGCGAACAAACAAACGTGAACAGCGATGGTTGGGACAAAAAAAGATCACTTGGTGAAAATGCGGACATACGCGCGAAAAACAACCATAAGCGTGGCGTGAGGCGGGGGCGTGGACGTAGGCCACACGCTTTCGGACTGAACAATGTACAGCAGAAAATATTCCTGATAACCGTCATGGACAAGCGACAGTACAACGGCGTCGACCACGACGGAACCATTGCGTACAACCAACGACGAAGGGGCGTTGTACGTGATACGAGAAAATGAGTTGCATTACACAACACCGCAGCAAAAGACCCGCGGAAACAAAGAATAGATCACAAGAGGCCATTGCAATTATGTGTCACTGCCCCAAACAAAGCACGTCAACCAGAGGTTCAACCCGGTACGGAACATAACACGACACATCAGTCGCCGACACAAGACAAAAGGCACACACTCCTACAAGCACGCCCTAACGGATGCGCAATCACACACGATCACAAGAGGAACGCGGGACACAGAACACACCTTTTCGGCCTTCGCTTTCATGATGCTCGTACGTTTGAACGTCGCGTTGTACGCTGGTTCAGGGATCTTGTTCAGCTTGGGCCGCAGCAACTGTTGACTCCTTGTGAGAGAAGGGAGCGCGCCTCTGCATCCGAGATAAGTCCAGTCCGTGCCCTCGTCGCCAATGCTCCCATCGGAGTCGTAGTTGCCCCCCCCCGTGCTGCCGGCCGCGCCACCTCCCCCTGACTTCCCCTTGCTTTCTCCGCTTGGCCCTTATTTTTTCTTGCTACCCCCATCGCTCTTCGTCGTCCGCTTGCGCTTCGATTGCGCCAGCGGCCCGTCGTCATCTTCCAGCTGCGACTTCTTCGTGCTCGTGCGTTGCCGCTTCAACGTCGTCTCCGCACTCCCCGCCGCCCTCCTCCTTTTCACCGGCACAGGTGACGGCAGCGAAGTGTCGCCGTCGCCCTCTCCTCCAGACCGGGCGACGGAGATGATAGCGTCGAACTCAGCTTCAAAATCGGCACCGAGCTCTAGAAAGTCGAAGTGGTTGTGGCGAGACACCGTATTTTCGTCACCCCCAACTTCGGTTCTCGCTTCCCAACTACTCCCGCTGCGGAATAACAGGTGCACCCACCTATGCCCCTCTTCGTCGTGCTTGATTTTTTTGTCAAACAGACAGAGGCCCCACATGTTCTTCTTGTACAGCTGCACCAACTGCCCTCCCCCGGTAGGCTCCCGAACCGCAATGTTGACCCCGTACCTTTCGGGGATGAGTGAAAGCCAGCACAAGTCCAGCCACTCCGTCCGTAGCTTCTCTTGCACTTTCGAATCTAGCCAACCGTAGGTCATCACGCCTTTGTCCGCGGGTTCAGGTGTGTTCAGCTCATACGGATGCATCCGGAAAGTTTCAGTGCACTGAAGAGCGCGAGCCCGACGCGTCTGCTCCGTCGAAAGCAGAGTGGTCATGACCGCTTGCCACGCTGATGGTCCTAGGATGTGGGAGATGATGCTGTGTTTGGGGGCACTCTTCACACCATCAGACATTCGTGGAACACGCATGCTCGTCTGTCCAAGACTCGCCTGGAGACCTTTCAGCAAGGCGTGGTAAGCACAATCCCCATCTCCGGCAACCTCGTGCGCTTGAGCTTCTCCCGGGGGCGTGAACGTGCGGCGGGATTTCCGTCTCTTGACAACGCAGTTCACCTTGGAAAGACTGGACTCAAACCCCGCATTATTGGCCGCGTCACGGCCGAGGCGGTAGGCTTGGGGCAGGAGCTCTTGCGGTGTGCACCCCCCCGTAACTTCGACTTCAGGTTCGGGGCGAAGAGCAGCAGCAGACACGGCAGCAGCAGCAGCAGTAGCCATGATGGTGCGGGGGAGAAAACCCGCCAGCAGGGCGAACATTTATGTCTTCATCGCACCGGCTGGCGTCTGTGTGTGTGTGTGGTCTGGCGCGGACTCGCGGATCTGCACCGCAGTGGAACTCCCTGCTCATGTATTACTTGCGTCGGGAACTGTGTGTCTGGTGTCCCCGCGTTCAGACTTTCTCTGAGAACGCGATCTTTTCGCGCTGTCGAGCCCGCGCTTGCAGTGCGACTTTCGACGAAAAACTTGTGCGACAGGAAGAGTAACAACATTCTCATCGACACTCAGGAGGGGTGTAGTCACAAAAGGGTTAAGGGCCCGTACAAATCCAGGTACCCTATCTTATGATACAGAGGAAGAAGTTCCGGAGATGTGCCCCGAATTGCACGCAACCCCACATGGATCGGCCAAAAAATGATAATCCATGTCGTCACGTGGCCACAACAGAGCAATAGAAACACAAAAATTGAACTCTATATTCATACATGATAAGCTGGTTTTCAAGGACAACCGCAACGGAACCTGTACACCATTCACTGCCTTCAGCCTAGTGAGTAGGCTACATACACCGCACGTACATCCCGGCCGCATCTCACCGTCCTTGTCTGTGTCCAGGTGGTCGAATAGCTCGTTGGCCACCTTTTGAGTGTAGTTCAACGTCGAGCACAAGTGTTTATGCAGCTCCTTTCTTGAAATCGTTCCCCACCCGTCGGTGTCGATGGAATCAAAGATCTGGTAGAGCTGTTGAGCTTCTTCAGTAACCGCCTTGGCCGCTGGGTTGTTTACACCGAGTTCCGCAGAGAGTTGTGCACAGAAGTCCTGGAACTTGAGGGCGTTCTCGTTAAACTCCGCCCCGTTCTGAAACGCGTCGACCACATGCTCGGCGCTTGCCTCGATTGCTGCTTC